CATCCATCCATCCATCCATCCATCCATCCATCCATCCATCCATCCATCCATCCATCCATTATTAGCCTTTCACCATCTAAAAGGAAACAAAGTATCAGATCAAACCTTGACAAATATCTTCTCACTCTGTGTCCTCAGGGCAGCAGTTATGGGTGTTGGCTCTGGGTGTCAGCCCTCGTCGCCACACCATTGGAATCCCAGAGTTCAAATATGTTGCGAATATGCATGGAAATGAGGTGAGAGGACACACCCACACACACAACTGCAACATAACCATCCCTGTTGCGCAGGAAGTGGGTCTGAACGGTTACTAAAGAGATCCACAAAAGCCTTTCAGAGTCCGACACAGTCCACCAACTCTTTTGTGTTCAGACAACAGACTGCAGGGTGGCCTGTATTATTGTCAGATGAAAACGGACAGCAGGCTGAGTCAATATTAAAACAGTATGACAGAGATGTTGGTAAATTCAAAGGAAGCAACAAAACTGGAACACAGACAGGGAGGATTCAACAGAAGAAAAGACATTTATTTGCACAGTTCCTTATTTATTCAGATCTAATCAACAAGGAAAAAGGATGACGCATAAACTGACAGGGCAGGGAGAGCAGCCAGGAAGGCTGGATTAGCTGCAGGCATCTGATCTCTGCAAAGAAGTCAGTCACAGATGATCTCTGCAAACCAGATATAGCATCACCTCAGGTGTGGTGGTAAAACCTGATAGTGACAGATATTAGCCCAGCCATTAACCATGGCGATGGCTGGAGGCTAGGCATGATGTTGGAATGCTTCTCTATAGCAGGTAAAGGGAAGGCGATCCAAGCTGATTGAGGACAAATGGAGGTTATACTCCTGGAGGAAAAATGAGCAGATTAGTCTACTATAGTGGTCTAGTCAAAGTCTAGATCCAAATCCAGCAGAGGAAAATTTTAAAAGTTTTCCATCCAATGGCAAATAGTTTGACTTATTTAGCAAAGAAGAAAAAGGGAAATATTTCACGTATAAATCACACTTTAACAACAATGACACATTTACGAATAATGGCTGCTTGATATCAGCATGAGATTTGTTGTTGCCATGACAGCAGTGAAAGAAAACTTCAGTTTAATTGGATCAGTGTGCTACGCAACAGTGTTTCTGAATCATTTCCTGTGAAACAGTAAAGAAATGACCCTTTAATGGAAACTTCTAGAGACTGCTGATTAGCATCTGGTAACCATGGATACAGAGGACTGGGTATCGGTGCTGCTCATGTGTGCGGGTCAGTAGGAAGGTCCTTAAAGAGACGAGTCACGCCTGGACACACTGCGGCCTCTCACACACAGAGTCAGTAAACAGAACCAGTGGAGTGTGTCAGTTCAGAGGAAAACGTCCGGAAAAAGACCTTTCTTCCCACTCTGTCTGCACACACAGAGACACATCCCAGGATGAGCGTCTCATGTTGCCTTTTGCTGCCTGCTGAGCAGTTCCCAGCATATGACTTCATGTATAGCTGAAGTTTGATTCCTCGAAGGTTGACCTGCTGACTTAACCACATTTATTTTGAGAAGGTGAATATTTGGTTTCAGTTCAAACAGATGATGTATTTCATCCCACTGAGTACACAGCTTCCACCTTCCTTCTGCCTTTGCTGCAGGTTTATTCATTAAAGCTGTTAAAGAAAACAAAAGCTTCCATTCCGCCTGGAGTTGACAGATAAAGTATCCGATTCTGCTGACTAGATTTATTGCTTTATAATTGCTGGTAAGGAAGCAAAAGATTAACAAATATGTAGTCCAACCATTCATCTTTCTTTGTTAAACATTCCACCTAAAAACGTTTCAACTCTGTCCAACTCTGAATCTTCTGCTTTTTAGTTCAACATTGTCTGAAACCGTTGCTTGAATATTTAGGTTTTTCTACAGCTTTGATTCAATTTTCCTATTTTTGACTTGTTGCAGCCACAAACTCTAGTGTATTTTGTTGGCTTTGTTGGATATATTGTCTTTCTTGTGTTTTGTCTCCAGAACCTTTGAAATACCATATATTCCCCCCAATGTTTGCAAAATAGCTTGGCTTTTACTAGGCCCTTCTAAGACGGGGATCTGGACTATTTGTTTGTAGCTCTGGCTGTAAGTCTTGTCATCCTTGCTGTGCTGCAAAGTGCTGCGCTGGAAAACCCAGTTCCTGATTAGCCTCTTCAGTTACTGATTGTTTTTGGAAACATGAAACCACAAACAAACTTCTGTCACGTAATTTATTGGAAAAGCAAGTATAAACAACTGGACTACAGTAAAGGAGGCGGGATGGCGACAAGATAAAATTCTTTTAATGATTCAAAGGATAAACAAAGCCATTTTGGAAAATTCTAATTTAGCCACATAAGAGCATCTGGATCCTTTCTAACCCAACAATGGTGCATTAGCCGAGCATCTGTGAGCTGCAACCAAATGACAAAGCAAAAGCAGAATGTCCCAAAAAGAAACAAATCCAACTTTGTAAGGCAACAACTAATCTGTTTGTGATATTTGTTATTTCTATAAAGCTGCTTTAAAATGTTTCCTTTAGGGCGGGGGCGGGACCAGAGAATGAGGTAGCTCTCATGTGGTTTTCCACTAAATATAGCAATCTTCCCACAGGCCCGGTCTGTCTCTACCATCCACATTTTTAAACAAGTCCCACTTTCACCTTTCTACAAAGCCAAGCCTTAGCCCTCATCTGCTAATGCACAGCAAGATAAACAAAACTATTCTTATCTAAACTGAACAAAGCTATCTGATGTTTGAGGCGGAGAGGTGCCCCAAACTCTTAACAATGCTGCCATTAAAGCTCTACAGTAAGATACCTACAGCTCAGATGATCTCTGAGGCTCATCTGTAATGCTTTCTAGGCTTCTCTGGAATCTGGGTCTTTGTTTTAATCCCTCCATTAAAGTGTTTTCAACTCCTTTGCTGTATGACTAGACTGAAGTTGGGTCTTTCTCTAAACGGTTCTTATTGTAGATCAGACTTTTCTATAGCGATGTGTGTGGTAACCAGTTCCATGTAAAGTCTACAGAAAAGCGAAATTGTAGTTTAGCAAACGTTCTAGATAAAAGCTTTTGTCTTTAATTGAGGACTCTTTTTCTCTCAAGAAAAAGCTACTTTGTAAATTAAACCATTTAAACACTGCACTTGTCAAAAAAGGGACTGTTTGTAGGAGAGCCAAACTTAACTACCTCCTTTTTCTGCTTGTCAACAGCTTGGTCAAATACTATTTTTGGAAATAATACTGTTTATTTTGAAGAACTGACACAAAAGACAAACCCAAACTGATCTCTTAAGGACTAGAGACAGGCCTTTCCTTCCTCTCCACTTCAAGGGTTAGGGTTAAATTCTGGAGGAAGTCTCCAATAAACCCTGCACTGTGGAGGCAAGCATAAACATCTTGGATACATGTTTAGTGACCACTGGTCAGTGAATCTCATCCTAGCAAGTCTTTGCATTTGGATTTTGTCAATCGATTGATGGCTTTTTTTCAGGTGCGGGAGATGCCACCCCCCACATTCATTCCAGGGTCAACAAAAGCTGTTTGGCATTGGAAGTGGTGTATGTGGCTGTTTTTTTTTTATGAAAGTAGGTAACATATTTATGAAGGTACAGTTTCCTGCTTGTGCACTCACATTCAGAGTATATGGCCACGGGGGCCATTGTTACTAAAATAACTCTGACCGATATACTGATGTGTATTGTGTGTATGTTTACAGCAGAGCAACATCCTGTTCTAAATTAGTTAGGTGTGTTACCCTTACTTTCGGACTGATGGCTTTGACCTTCTGGGGCATTCCAGTTACAATTTCCTACTCAGATGTTGGAAATGGAACTTACCAACAGCTCTGTTGTTCAACCCAAAACTGCATTGTCATTAGAAATGTGACTGTAGTTATTCATATTTTCAATTGGTTAAAGGTTTATTCCCAAGATACATCAATTTGAGAAGAATAAAATATATAAAGGTGTGAAATAACAATTATTCTTGTATAGCTATTTCACTATACCAGCTATGCAGTTCCTCCAGTCTGGTTATGTGGGCACTCCACCTTTAAATATCTTACTTGAAACATGCTGGTGAAAATTGTCAGCCATTCAGTTCATAGTAATTCCATCTTACTTGAAACCTTCTTCTGGAGCTTTCTGAGTCATCAAATGAGGCACCTCTGGACATGTTGTATCTGCTGTTGTCCAAGTAAGACCTCAGCCATAGTATTTTGACCCACCCATGGATTACTAAGCAACCATCCACACCTTCTTGCCTGAGCATGTTGTCCCTGTGGCCTGTTCAGAGGGTTTGATGGTGGTTCAGGGGTTGAATGTGGTTTCCCAGCTTATTGGAGGCAGCTGCACCAATCAGATGGTAGGACCAGAATTAGCTGGAGTGTAGATTGCGTCTCATGATTTACCAAGAAAGGTGGGTCACACAAGCCTCTCGCCCGTAGACAGCTGGAGATAGGCACCAGCACCCCTTGCAACCCTGCTTGGGATTAAGCGTGTAAGAAAATGGATGGATGGATGGATGGATGGATGGATGGATGGATGGATGGATGGATGGATGGATGGATGGATGNGGATGGATGGATGGATGGATGGATGGATGGATGGATGGATGGATGGATGGATGGATGGATGGATGGATGGATGGATGGATGGATGGTGGGTCACACAGGTGGCAGATGTGGAGGCATCAAGTCATCTCTATACCAAGTATTTGATCTGTCCAGCCACTGAACAAGGTGAGTCCAATCTGCACACTTTAAATCACCATTCAATTCATCTGGTTCAGTGGCTGGGTGGAACAAATCCATGCCATGGAAATGATTTGACTCCACATCTTATACCTGGAACCAGCAAGACGTTTCTAATAAAGTGGTAAATTTCCTCAACTTTAGCTGGAGGAAATGTTTCACTAAGCAGTTTTTTGAAAGTAAATATTGTTTGAGGATATTACATGTTTTCTTATTCAAGCTTTGGTTTTGCATTTGCCCATTTGGAGAGTTAAATAATCGTATTTTTTAGTGGAAGATAACGAGAAATTCCCACGTTTCTTTACTAGATTGTTCTACAATTTTTTTAACTCCTTACCCTCCACAGCCACACTGGTTCTAATGTAAACTTAATAAGTAAACATGTTCTTGGATGGACAATCGATGTAACAAATTGGCGTTGGATTAATCCCGTTTGTGTGTTTAAGTCTTACAGTGAGACTAAATTTACATTAGATAAAGGAACCTGGCAGGAAAGATGTGTGTTTTGAAAACAATGGACCTTTGGGACAATAAAGATCAAGATCTCAGACACACAACACCAAACAGAAATGTTTCTTTGCTGGCTTCTTTATGATCCATCCTACTGTATATTTAACCTAGGCGTTTGTGACAGCAGCAGAAAGGAAGCTTGGGTGGGTGTTAAAGGAGAGAAGAACGATGGCTGGAGGCAAAGCTTGTCCTGACTTGTGTTTAGAAATGTTCCTTCATTATACACCTTCTCACCTCTCCCACCCTTCTCTGTTTCTTATTCCCAAAGCTCGCATTTATTCACAAAGTTTCTCTTGTCTCCCGATCCCCACCATCCAATGAGCCCCTTTGTTCAAATATAAACCGCCTCCTTGGATTGGATTTCCATTCCTGCCTCACATCACTTCAACATAAAGATTCTGTTTATTTTTCCTGGTTTATTTAAGTCTTTTTGTAACTAAGGGTTCAAACTGAACATTGAAGCACGTGTGTCACTATTCTACTTTTTTTTCATCATTTTCTCCAGGATTCAAAAAGATAAAGTAGAATTATTTAAATAAGTAACTCAATCAGAGAAAAGAAGGTCCTGTTGGTGACTACTACCATTTTTTTTTACACTTAACAGTTTTAAAATTCTTTACATTTGCTTTTCCTTTGTAAAACAAGGACTGGCACCATCCCCATTAAATTATATTTATTTAACTGAAATTTACTGGCAGAACTACTTGGTCTTTGTGGAATAGAAAATTGTAAAGTGTCCGGTAGGCCTACCATCGTTTGGCAGTGAACAATTAGTCCGAATAATTGTGATCATTCGATTAATGAAATATTGAACTAATTCAATAATCAATCGTTAATTGTAACATAGAGACTGTAAAACATGCCTTTAGCTGACAAAGTGCACCGCTTAGAACAGCAGTTATACCTAGATTTAAAAAATAATAAATTTTGCATTTTAGATACCAACCCATGCTAACCCCAAAAAATGTTTTCATCTGTCAATATACTCTATCCCGATTGCCACAAGTTTCACCTGTTTTCTTTTCGTAAAAAGTCCTCTGTAAGGAATAAACGTCCATCCGATAATTAATCGATTCATAGAAGTAAACATTAACTCATGACTTAGTTCTCTTAGTAAATGGCTGTAACATTTGAATTGATTTTCCACTTACAGTAAGACAATGTGCAACTTTTAATACTTTTTAGGTTTCAACTAAAAATGTCTCAAATTAAGCCACCAAGGTCTGCATTTACATATTTTAAAACTAACTTTATAGTCCAGTGCGTTTTCTGCTGCTCTAGGACTTGTGTTTAGAGGTCAATTGAGCCCAGAGTCCAGAGCTCACCACCCCAAAGTCTAATTCACTCCCATTACATTTCAGCTCTAAATGTTTTTTTTTCAAAACTGGAAATAACTGTGTTGAACCTGCATAAAACATGTAAGTGCATTTGTGTTTCTTAACACTGATGGGTCAAAAAGTGGTTTCAATCCAGTTTGATGCCTTCTGTACCTTATGTGGATCTCCCATATGCTCCCCTAAAAGGGGAGGAATCGCCATAGAAACAAGAGGCATTTCCAGATTTGTTGTAAATGTTGCAGTGTTGAAGAAAAGGGCTGGTTATACCTTCAGCAGTGTGTCGCAGTGAGCTTGTCACAGGTATGACACAGATATTTTTGATATATGCCAAATTTTGAAGCGTAGTCTTAGTCCACGCCCCAATGCAAGAGGGACAATCAGGAACTAGCTGTGGGTCTAGAAACGGCCGAGGAGGCGAGGATGTGGGGGCAAGTTTGTGCGACAACGGAGGGATATGAGGGCGAAAAAAAGTGGCAATCCAGGTGGAAAACGGTCCGAGCGTTCTCGCGCACATCGCTCCTCTAGCTGGTCCATCTTCACGAGTCGTTTTCCACAATAGCGGTCATACAAACAAAACAAACCGGTAAGGTACCAAACAGGAAATACGCATAGTGTAGAGTGGATGTAGATTTGACCAATCAGAGGCCTCCTGTCTGCGTTCACCTACAATTTGGGAGAGGTGCAGCAGAGTGTCTGCGGAGGGGGTGGGGGAAACATCTGTGTTAACTGCAACACACGCAGACAGGCTGAGTTTCTGAGTATAAATAAGCCTTAACTCTTTAAGCACTGCAAAAAGTGCAAAAATAAGTATTTTTTTCTTAAAATAAGTATTTTTTTCTTAAAATAAGTGCTTTTTGTCTTGAATTGAAGAGGTAAGTGACACACTTTGCCAATGGAACAAGAAAATTTACACTGAAAATAAGAAAAAACAATTATATTGTCTTATTTCAAGTGCATAATATTTAAGAGTAATTGATACTCATTCCATTGGGAAATCATCTTATTTACCTGCATAAATAAAGGGTTAATACACTTAATTTAAGAATTTTTTACTTATTTTTAGATCCTTTTCGCAGTGAGCGGACACTCTTAAAGTGTTACTCCAACACTCGGAAATTTACTTAGTATAAATATTTGTCTTCTAGTCTCCTTTTTTAACACACATCAAATTCATGCTTGTGATGTAGGTCCTGGGCCGCGTGCTCCTGCTCCAGTTGATTGAAGAGCTGGTGCGAGGTTACCGTGACAAGGAAACATGGTCGCTGCAGCTGCTGAACAGCACTCGGATCCACATCCTGCCGACGATGAACCCAGATGGTTTCGATGAAGCTGATACACACTGCCTGTTCAGCCAGGGAAGGTAAACAAATGAATGGATTTAAAGTAGCTTCAAAAAATATTCACACCCTGTTCTACATTTTCTCGAAAAAAGCCGAATATGATTGTATTATAGCTTAGTGCGCTGTTGTGCTTATTAAAGTAGGAGAGAACGAAAATGTGCCTTTTGGTTTTTCATTAGTAGAATCTTAAAATGGTACGAATACTTTTAGCCTTTTTTAATTCACTGTAAAAGGATTTTTTGCACACAAAAAAAGTAACTAAAAGGAAAAGTAAAATTCTTCTTTAAATCAGATATTTAATTATTTGGGATGTACCCGCCAACCACCCCCCCACCCCCTGCTTGGTTTACTGTTTTGCACTCTAATGAGCTTCCTGTGGGAGCCTCCCTAATGTTCTCTCAAACATCTTTAAGGATAATAAGAGAAGAAGAAAAAAAAACACTGAATGTTCAAATTAGGCCCAAAAAAGCTAAATTAGTAGAACGAAACTCGGCCACATGTGTAAAGCTTACAAAACATTTTATGGCAACATACTGCATTAATAACTAAAAGGTTCCTACATTTGAAAACTTTTCTGCTATTGTGTACCATTTAATACAAGGTGTGCAAAATCATTTTTTGAATAATTCTTTTTATTTTATTTCCTATTTCTTAAAGCCCAATAAAATAAAATAAATGATAGAAGCATCTTTTTTTCAAACTGCACTGGATACATCAGCTCCATCTGTTTTCCCTCTCTCTTTTTTAAAGGAAATTGGATTTCTTTTTTCTCAAAGGACAGCTGATCTGTAACAAAGAGTCTAAATAGCTAGTTTTACTTTGGTATGAGATCATGTTTGTTGTACAAAAATTAAACAGAGAACGCTCCAACGCCCAAACTATCCAGATATGCAGGAAGCCAAACACTGATCTCAGTCAGGCTGCAGACACGGTTAAAGCCTTAAAACCCCTAATTATTTATGTTTTGACTTCGTCTTCTGTCATGTTTTTAGGACTTGTCCCTGTTTGTGTGTCTTTTTGTCTAACACAAAGAGACGGTGAAAATCCATTTGTGCGGCCTCATTAATGGGACTCACCTCAGGAAGTGGGGTTTAGATTTGTTTGGGGGGTAAACCGAGTGTGTGGTCTGCACTCATTTCTTGTTTTTAATGCCGTATGCAAACAAACAAAAGTCCTGTTATAGAAACAGAGGCTTTTTCCCTGGATTTGGTTCAGATTTTTATTCCACCTGACTTAAGCTGATTCATCTAACAACAGAAAAATGTTTATTTTCAGCAGCTCAGACATTATGTTTGGCCATTAAAATGACAAACCTTAGTGCATTTCCCTGGGTCTTTATGTGGTAGGCCAACAGAAGTGCATTAGTGGTAGAGTGGAAGGAAATTGTTGGATGGTTTTTAAACTTAGGAAATCGTAGCATCTATTTGTAATCTGACCCTCCTGAGGTGGTACTTTGTTGGAACCTCTTTCCCTGCAGTTAAATGAATTAAGAGCAGCTGTGAGGATCAGTTCTAAAATCTTACACATTAATCAGGTTCAGGTCTGAACTTTGACCATCCTAACTCCTTTATATTTAGGATCGTCCCATCCTGTCATGTCCTTTTTTAAGTACCGGTACCTATTTTCTGTCAACTCTGAACAGTTTCCCTGTTCCTGATTAAGAAACGTATCCCCCTAGCATGATACTGCCAGCACCAGTATTCACCATATTCTTAGGTAAGAGGAAAAAATCCCATTTAGTGATCATTTAAATGTTTGCCTTGTTTCTCAATCCAATAAATCAAATCCACTATATTTATATAGCACATTTCACAACAAAACATGTTTCCAATGTGCTGTACATAAAAACAAACAAAAGAACCCAACACACACACACAAAAAAAGCATTCAGAGTTTAAAATAAATACACAATTATGCGGTGTTAAAAGCCAAAGAGTAAAAGTGGGTCTTAAGAAGAGACTTAAAACACTACAATGTAGAGGCTGATTGTATAAGAAAGGAAAAAGCATTCCAAAGTCTGGGACCAAGAACAGATAAGGCTCTTTCCCTTTTGGTTTCAAGTCTCATCTAAGGCACTATTAACTGAAGATGGCCCTCAGACCTTAAAGAACATACCTATCGGTAATGTATTGACTAGACAGCCCATTCAAAGCTCTAAACACAAACAATAAAATCTTACAATCGATTCTAAAACAAACAAATACCAGTGCAGAGAACAAGAACTGCATTTAAGGACTAACTGCAGACAGGAGAGAGCTCATTGGCTAATGCCTGAATAAAGTGCATTGCAGTTGTCCAGACGGCTAGAAATAAAAGAGTGTAAAACCTGCTTAAAAGATAAAAACAGTTCTACTTTCGATAAAATACAGAGATTAATAAAAACATGATTTTAAAACATTTTTCATTTGTTTGTCCAATCTGAAATAGCTTTCTATGGTGACACGTACACACACGTACACAATGCTTGAAAGGTGACAAATCAGAGATGGCACTGCCAACACCATCACCTCTGTCTTGCTCTTATTAAGCTTCAGAAATTCTTTTGATTACCAAGCCTTGATGTCACCCAGACAGTCAAGTAGCACTGTCATAGGGCAGTGGCTGTTTTTAGCATTTGGCAAATAAATTTGACAATCATCTGCATAGAAATGGTACGCTATACCATATTTAGTAAAAATGTCTTTGAGAGAGGAGGTATAGTGCAAATAATTAAGGTCCCTGGATAGAACCCAGAGGGACACCGCAATAAAAGGGGGCAGAGGATATTGTGGAGTCCCCCAGCCAGACAGAGAAAGACTTCTCTGACCGGTAGGATCTAAACCTCTGCAGAGTAGTCTCCCTGACACCCACCCAGTCCCTCAGGTGGTCTAAAAGAACTGTGTCAAACAACACTAAGATCTAAAAGCACTAAAATGGCTGAACTGCCAGAATCAGTTATTAAAAACAAGTCATTAAAAACTTCACTAGTGCTGATTCAGTACTTTGAAATGTTTTGTCCTGTTTTATCCTGACTGAAACGGATCTTAATTGCCGTTTGTCTAAAAACGTGTACACTTGTGCAAAGACACATTACTCCAAAATATTTGACACAAACAGTAATTAGGAAATTGTCAATAGTTACAAAGAGTCATGGGACACAAACTAGCTTGTTTTGTTTTATTAGTCATTAAAAAGCTTATTTTTCTAAATGCCTTTTGGCAAGAAATATCACTGCTTATTTTATTGGATGATTACATTTGTGAAATGCATGAACATTAGCTTTCCTGGTTCTTCCAGGTAGACCATTATTGTAGCGCCCAACCCTGTACACTGTTTAGACATATTCTGAAGCCATTTGGCTGCACTGTATTTTATTTTGGGGTATCAAAGATGTAGGCAGAATAGAACTGCACATTTTGTTTAGATTTTAATTTACTACATTTTAAATCAAATCCACCATTAGTGTGCCACTTTTTGATGGACTGCTGCTTAAAAAGCATGTAAATCTGAACCTGCAATGCAGGTTTTTTTTTTTTTTACTAATTGTAATTAAGTTATGTTTTGCAAATTCATATAACCAAAGCTGATTCATACATTTAAAAAGAAAAGACTGAGTAGGAAAACAAAGGATGACTTGTTAAGATCCTATACATTTGAGTCTGACTTTGAATTTGGATTATTTTACATGTCTACACCATCATGTCACAGATTGATGGATGGGTGGATGGATGGATGGATGGATGGATGGATGGATGGATGGATGGATGGATGGATGGATGGATGGATGGATGGATGGATGGNTGGATGGATGGATGGATGGATGTTTTTCTCTTTCAGAAAGGTCCTTCTGTCTTGAGAACAAACATTTGTTCATTTGTTTGCTTTTTATTGCTGACTTGGTTTCAGTGTTTCTTTCTGACAGCTCTATGGTTCCAGTCACACCTGTTTGGTTTCCCACCCTTTTAGCTTTCCTTCACAGTCTTAACTTCCTCTTTCATAATGCACTCCTCTTATCCTACAGCTACAGTCTTTGCTCTCATATGCATCAGGAATCTGGAGTCTTATCCTTTGAAATCATTAGTCCCTTTTCCAAAGCGTCCCTCTGCGTATTTAAACAGATTAAGTTTAGGAAAACATTAGAAAAGTTCTGTGCTACTTCATTATTTGCTAGGCCAATACTCCTGGGCAATTGATGGCCTAATGGGTTTGAGCAGTGCACTTGTGCTCTCTAAGAAGGTTGCAAGTGCCCAGTTTGATCCCCACAGCCTGCACTCTGGGTCCCTAAGCAAGTCCCTTAACCACACACTGCTCCCCGGGCGCCGCACAATGGCAGCCCATTGTTTCCTAAGGGGATGGGTTAAATGCAGTTCATTTCGTTGCTTTGTATTTGGGACAATGTAATGACAATGAAGTTAAATTCTATGCTATTTATAATTAATATACCTTTCAGTAAAGTCTGTAAGGTAGCATCAGATATTAAATTTTTACATTATCAATCAATCCCTCTGTGTGTTTTAGGTTCAACCATAATGGCGTCGACCTGAACAGGGGATTCCCCGATGCTTTTGCTGGTCTTCGAAAGCAGCGGGAGCTAAAAGAGGAGCAGAGGGAAGCTGAGGTTTGTCTTGTCGAGAAGAAATTAAGGAGGATGTTGGCTTCAAATAAGCATGTACAAGAAAGTTATTGCTTTCCCAGAAGGAGGGCTTGTTTTTTTCCCAAACCGTCTCATTCTTTTATAAGATTTATAAGATTAACATTATAAACATTTTCTAATTGTGTTATGTGTTTGGAAGATTTTGTATGAGATTCACAAAAAAAAGAAAAAAAACCCTTAAAACTTTTCAATGCTGTTATTGCCTTCCCATGCCTGGTAGACTTTTTGTAATCAAAATGCTCTGTTTGTAAAGCCTTCCCCTTATGATGTCATCAGGGGAAATAAGCTGTCCAGAGCAGTTTGCTACAGCCCATTAGTCAAGCTACAGCCTCCATCGAACGTATTATACCACCTAAGTTATTTTTACCAACTGAGTTATTGTCATGGTTGTGTGGCCCTCAGGAGGATGGGTACGCAGAAAGCCAAAACAGCTTGTTCAGATGAGGGCTGAATATGGAGATTTATGGTAAAGGCTGTCTGTCTAACCTGAGAGGAATTTTTCTGCACAAAAGGGATAAACTGCTGTGGGTGCCTCATTGTTAATATTTTTTATTTCCAAATGTAGCACAATATGGGACCTTTATAATCTTGGTTATGTCTGATGACTGCAATATTCTCTACAAATACAACATGCTGCTGAGGCTCAGAGAGAAGAAAAACTGTGTTGACAAGTTATTTTAAGTGAAGCACATTTCTGTTACGTCTTTATTAGGAAACCTTCCCCTTTTTTTGTGATGTCATCTTACAGTCAGAGTACGAACTGATGAAATAAGCTTCCAGTTGTTAGTAGAGTAGAGTAGAGATTTTTTTTTTTTGCATTAGTGACAATGGCGTATGTTATTAATTTGGCCTGGAAGTTTTGTTAGACCTTTGGGTTTTTTAAATTTGTATAATTTCCAATTTCTGTGAAAATAAAGACCTAAAGAATAAAGAATTAAGTCCAAAGACACTAAACATATTTTTCTTCACCAGTCTCTGTAAATGCTGGCAGCACTGTCAATGTGTTGATGGAGCATTTGTCTGAACCTGCCACTAAACAAGGAGAAGGAGGTTGAACTATAAATCTTTCCCCTGGTTTTGGCTTTTTTTTTCGTCCCCTGCAGCTGTAAAACCTTCTGCTGTGAAAAGACAGTAAATCCAAATCTGCTTCACTGAGTTATGTAACTCCGTTATTATGAACAGACATGAGTAAGAGCATTCCTAAAACCGTGTGTGGATTGATCCGCAACTGAAAGTAGTTCAAGTTAAATGTGATTTTTAAACTCATATAAACCATCTTTAATGTTATTTTGATGAACTGATGTCTTTATTTTATTCAGGTGAGAGCTGTGATTGGCTGGTTAAAGACGGAGACTTTTGTTTTGTCTGCGAACCTTCATGGAGGAGCGTTGGTAGCCAGTTATCCTTATGACAACAGTGACAGAGGTAAAAAAATATATATATATATATTCTTTTGGATAGTGATTTTTGTTGTTTTCTGTGCTATCTTTATAGGGACGGTAAAGTCCCATAGAGGAAAAAAAAAACAGAATGAGTTTGAGCTAATTGTCCAGTTCCATGTTTGATTTTCCAGGTTCGGATTTCTTTGGCGCGCCCAGCCTTTCCCCAGACGATGATGTGTTTGTCCACCTGGCTAAGGTTTACTCATACAACCATGCATCCATGCATCGGGGGAACCTCTGTGACGACACTGGACCTTTCCGGGATGGCATAACCAATGGATACCACTGGTACCCTTTGGAAGGTACAGTAAGCTTCCCCCCATTCTGCATTTCTAAAGATTTCAGGTTTGGGCAAAGCTCCATTGAAGGTTGAAGTCTGTTTGATAAGCAAATAAAACTGGGATTTAGGAAAAAAAAAAACTAAACTATAGAGGAGGGCTATCAGAATTGACTTGATAAAAGGCAAACCACGTTACTATCATGAAAGTATCTCAGACCAAAAGCCAGACACTTTTCAAACATACTAAAGAAAATGAGAACTGGATTTCTCTGGGTGCAGATGGGGCAATGAAGCAGTCAGATTTATTCATACCACCTGAACTTTTTCACATTTTGCCAAGAATTGTCATTTGAGATTACGTCTGGATTTTGACTAGGCCATTCTCACACTTCAATCCAGTTCCAGGTCTTCCGCAGCAGCAAACAGGTTTTCCTCCAAGAGTGGATTTAGCACCATGCATTTTCTCACCTCATATATTCTAGAAGTGTCTGTGTTTTAGTTCTTCTGTCAGTAGATTGAGCCTCGATGGACCTCTGTAGCTGCAAGAGTCAAATGAATCAAATTTTATTGCTACCGCTCTTAGATTAAAGGTATTGTGGAGGATTTTCGTGATTCTTTTAAAAGACCCACCGCTGTAAAAAAATACACATGCACAACCCTGGGGGAACGCCTGTTAAACCTATGCGAGAGCATGAACGAGCCCATTTCTTATCGTACACGCTCTGTTGCGGTTCTCATACCTTACTTTGTCCAAACGTCCTCCCTAACCCCTCAATCACTATATAGAGCGGGTACTATATCGTGGACTTTACAGTGAACTCAGTTAATTGATTTGTGTCCGTTGGTCACGTCACTCCTCCTCTACTGCGCGGTGCTTGCGCCATCTTTGTTATTAGTCACCTCTGTCAGGTAGCGACAGCCTATGGTGACAGCAGGCCGCTGTGACAGCCGATATATCTGTCTCTTCTGAGGCCTTTTTATTCTTCTCAAACACTTAGTAGCCACTTTTTCTGTTACAACCCTCTGCCATTTTCAAGGAACCGCTGTGAGAAATGCGAGCTTTAATGACTGTCTGAAACCGCAGCTCACCACAGATATATGCCTGAAAGTGCCCATGCACAGAAAAAGATAGCTAATGTGACGATCGCGTAGGACGGCCTTACGTAAACCACAACGATTGAAAATTAGGAGGACCACTTATTTAGTTGATCCATCCGGAAATAAAAGATTATCCTGTACCTTTAATCTACACATAATGGATAATTTAATAGAGTTCTCTGAGGTGTTCAGAGCTAGCCTGATAAACCAGACTAAATGTGATTTAGTCTAGCCTCAATGAATTTGATCCGGAAGATTGTTGATGAGAACAACCCTTTTTTTTTCAAACCAATTCTGTGCCTATTGGCCAACGCTCTGACTGTGACGTGGTAAGCATGACAGAAAGCTGGTGGGGGAGTGTAAATAGCCAGCCTGTCGGTAAAACGGCGAATACGTCCTTCTTAAAAGTGAATGAGCTTAGAGCCTCTACCTGCTCACGTTTCAACAAATACCCCAAGTCTAATCCTTCAAAAACTGATTCCAAAACTGAGACAAATGAGCTTGGATGTTTCTCAATTCACTAGAATTCATGAGTACAGACTCGTGTCCTCGCCAAGTATGTTCTTGAGAAGAATACTGGAAAGTATGGACTTGGTGAGAACGGGAGCACGCTGCATAATTTTAATTACGCATGAAACCGATAAATGGACCATATACTGATGCTTTAAAGTATAATATTCTCGCCTCAAATGATCTTAAACTTACTTTTATTGAACAACAGAAAAGAGAACTTTTAACTTTCAATGGAGCGCTCCATTGAAAGCTGCAGCTGCCGCAGTGCATGCTACTGTTCAATAGTTGTTGCCATCTTCCTTGTTGTAGTTTCTCCAGCGTCGCTCAGCTTTGTCGTCACGCCCTGAAAAACCTGCCCACTTTGCATCCAGAAATTCAAAGCTCATCTCTGCGTTGTGATTGGCCCACCAGTTTTAGGGCCTGGGGCATTGATCGAGGCTAGACCACTCGCAGGCAAAAATGATTTTGGCAGCTGGCAGTTGGGGCTAGTTTATTAGGCTAGTTCAAAGCTATAATCATTTCAAAATTGGGGGAAAAAAAATATTTTAAACTTTTCAATATATTTGAAATTTTTTAAAACTATTTTATTTTTTAAAATTTTTTTTTCATTGGGTTTGGAATAGTGGAAGACAACTTTGATGTCTGGAGAAAATATTTCCAGGTGCTGCATTCAACAACTGTCGGTACCTGAAACATCCTAAACATTCCCATTTTTTTCTTTTATACTTATTTTAGAAGTAAAAGTAATATTTTTCACCAATCTTTATGACCCAACTTTATCCCCATTCCTATTAACCTTAACTTCTTCTACCCCTTCTATAATATAGAATACCCCAGAAAATTTTACAAAAAGTTAAAAAGTCTCATCTAATATGTCTATAATATATGTAACAACATATTTTGATATCATATTTTAGAACAATTCTCTCTGAATCCTACTGTTGTTTCCCATCACTGTGGGAAGTTTTTTTTTCTAACACCAGATGGTGTTGGTAGAATGTTTTGTTTAAAATAGAAATATAAATGCGTTTCCAGGTGGGATGCAGGACTACAACTATGTATGGGCACAGTGTTTGGAGCTGACACTGGAGCTTTCCTGTTGCAAGTTTCCTCAAGTGAAAGAACTTCCTTCCTTATGGGAAGACAACAAAAAGGCTCTCCTGGCTTATATTCAGCAGATCCACCTGGGTGAGACCCTATCCACATGCTCATCTTTTGACTTATTCGTTTCCGCTGAAGCCTATCATCACATTATACCCTTGATTTTGGGCTCACAATGATGAATCTCCATTTGTTTTAGGAGTGAAAGGCCAAGTGTTCGATGGTTCGGGTAAACCGGTGCCAAACGCAGTGGTGGAGGTTGAGGGTCGCAAAAATATGTGTCCATTCAGAACCAACCAACATGGAGAATATTACCGGCTGCTTGTGCCTGGAGTCTACACCTTTAAAGTAAGGCTAAAAACACATGCTATGCTTTTATTAGAAATGATTAAATGATACTGTTCATTTAGAAAAAGACGGAAACTACAAATTTCAAAGAAAGATTCCAGTGGAGGCAGAAAGAAAGACATGAACCGTTAGGAAAGTGATCGTTAAGATTTGTCAAGATACAAAATCAAATATTAATTGATGTTACATTTTGATGCCAGATTGTGTAAGTACCCAAAACCTTTCCGTTCATGAAATGACATGAGAAAGTTTGAGATATCAGCACATAAAAATGTAATTCCTGGAAATTAGTTTTAATATCTTCTAAAATTCTTGTAATATTTTGTTTCCTTGAATTAATGTTGGGACAGCAAATGAAGACCATATAACCTTAGACGACTGATATATGGAAGCATCACGTACATTTTCTATTTATCCACGTTATATGGATCTCTACAAATAATGTTTACCTTGTACCGTATCAAAGACACATCATCTGACGTGTCTCTGTAATTCACCAGTACTTGATAAAGCCATTGCTTACTATTTAGAACAACTAAATGATGCCCCTGATGCTGTAACACCATCTACCAGAGTTTTATGTAGAAGCACGACGTGAATTCCATAAGTTACATTTCTGTTTTTGAAAGAAGTTTTTTAAATCTTGTAGATAAATGTTGAAAATGCCAACAATTACCAAAAAAGGTACCCAGAAGGTTGTTCTGTAGTGTCCAGTAAAGCAACCTATTAGCTGTGTAAAGTTCCACATCATCTGCTATTACATTCCAACTTTAAAAAGTACCTTGTAAGTTCTGGACAGATTACCATAAAACTGCTACAGTAATATTTGAAGTAAAACTATTGTACTATTGTGTACATTCCTTTTAATCATCTGATCCTTTCAATGCACAGGTGAGGTACCCGGGTCATGAGGTTCTGACAGAAACCCTCAGAGTCCCGTATGGTCCAGATCAGTACTCTGCCATGAAGCATGACTTCATGTTACGACGCATCGCCTCAGCGACTTTCCCCGCTCTACCTGAGCCGAGCCCTTCCTGTAATTACACAGTACACCCTGGAGGAGGTTGTGCCACGGCAGCGTCCATGTGGAGCAGGCTGACATTGGGGTTCAGCTTAGTGATGGTTATGCAATCATTAATAGACTAACGTTATCCTGACGGTAAAAATGGCCTCCAAGGAGGTGGTGGTTAGAATTACAGCAGCAATGTGAGATTGTCTCTAACAAACGAAACACTAGAAGACCAGGAAAGGAAACAGGAAAGAGTTGAGAGGTTACCGAAGGCATGTTTGGATACACAGGTTGCTGCCAGTTTAGTGGATAGAAAATGTCCGGCATGAAGTATAAAGCTGCTTACGGCTGAAGGAAAAGGTGCTGCCAAGTGACGGTCGTCAGTATATTTTGTTTTATTACCATTTTATTTATGACCAGAAAAAGCAGCAAGATAAAGATGATGGCTGGATTCCATCTTTCAGGTTTCTGTTACAGAGTTGTAATGCTGAATATACCTGCAAAAAAATATGATTTGCATTTAAATGTAAAACATATTTAACCAGATTTTAAGGTTCTCTGATAGACTGTCAACACTTACAAAAAAGATAATTTTTTTGTTTCTTACAATCTTACAGCTGAATTCTTTGACTTTTCTATCAAGCTGTTAGACCGCTAACAGATCGGATAGCTGGAGAGTTCTACAGACATATGTGACAATAACTTCAGGAAGTCTTTAAAATTTGCCACAAACATTGTACTTTCTAACCAAAAACTGTCTATTTAGGGTAATTAGCTTACTTTTTGTTATTTAACATTTCTATAGAAAGATAGTCTAACATTTTTATTTCAAACTGTTGTGCCTGTTTGAAAAAAAGCTGTTTTTGATTAAAAAAATTGTACTTCACAATATTTAAATTAATACTTTAGGTGAGCCCTAAACCTCATAAGAAGGCTCAGTACATAAACAGCTTTAGTAAACAATTATCCATTACACAAACGGAATAGGCTTTTCTTTAATTTTAGAGCAGAATTGCGTGTCTGTGGTTTAAGAATCACGATCTTGAAGGTAATGTAATAATCATTTATTTGGTCAGTTAAAAACTGTTTAAATCAGAGAATAAGCTTACTGCTGCAGCAGCTTGGTTGCATTTGCTATGGTAGCAAGTTAATTGCAACTAATGCTAAAAATGAGAACTGTTTGGCTGGGATATTTTTCATAATTTTTCACCATTGAGTTTATATATATTTAATACTTTATTTCTGTTTTTATTAACTATATTAAGATAGAAAACTAACACAATGTTTTACTTTTGTTTTTTGTTTTGATAAATGGGTAGATGCAAAATGCAAAACTCATATTTTTTCATAAGTCAGAAAAAATTACTAATATTTAGGATGTATATTAGTAACATTAATGATAATCTCCCTATGCATTTGTGGGTTCATTCCGGGTACTCTGGCTTCCTCCTACAGTACAAAACATGACTGTGAGGTTAATGGGCTTCTCTCAATTGTCCTTAGGTGTGAGTGTGCATGGTTGTGTTTCTATATATTGCTCTGCGACAGACTAGCGTCCTGTCCAGGGTGTACCCTGCCTTTCACCCGCCTTTTGCCCACTGCGATACTGACAAGGACTAAGTGGGAGAAAATGGCTGAATGGATGGATATATACAGTATATATCCACCCATGAAGCCATTTTCTGAATAGAAAACTATTTATGTTTGTGTAGGATCTTAAATGGACTAAATCCAACAACCATACTAAAGCTAAACAGTTAAGATCCTCTGGCAACACCTCGTAGGCATAGCCTAAATGTCCGTTTGAAGTTTGAAGATGATATCAGTATAGCTCACACTAAAGTTCTTTAAGGAGTGGATCATTTTCTGAATCTTTAACAGAGATTTAGTCTTATGAGATCAAATTTGATTTAAGTTTAAACATTGTGTACTGCCTATTAAATTGAATGATATCTGTATGGCTAAAGCTAAAGCTAACTTAGCTTTTGATCAACTTACTTTACTTACTTACTTTTTTACCAGAACTGATATCGTATAAAAATTATCTGTTGTACCTAATGTTGTAGAGAATCTACAAGTAAAGTATAAAATATAAGAAGTTTTTTTGCTGCTGATTTAGAAAGTAAACTTCATATATATTTTTTACACATATGTTGAACTTTTTTAAGCCTTAATGTCTTCAAATTTTTTTAAGATTTTGGCTAAAAGATTTCATAAACCTCTTATTTTAGGGCTTAAGCGTTAAAGATATTGTTAAAATGTTATTGGAAACTCATTGTATGAAACCTAAAACATCTGCAATACCCTAAATATCTAAATGTTGTCTCTGTCTTTTTTATAAAAGACACCTGATGCAAACGATGCAGATAACATAAATGCTGCAATCAAAGCAACATCTCAGCTGAAACACTGGCTGACAGGCACCATGTCTGTCCGCATTGCTGCGTTAATTCATACTAAAAAAACAAAAATAGGCATTGAGAGCTAGAAAAGACAATAAAAAATACAAAATGTCATGTAAAATGTTCATTTTCATAAGACACTGAATTTATTTTTCATTTAATTCACTTTAAGCCAGCATGTTTAAATAGTAAATATACATTTATTATTCTGATTTTAAAATGTACCTGTACTCATTCACAAATTAACATTTAGTACTTTTTAGTTTAATTTCACATAAAGTGATTATTAAGCTAGCAGCTAATGGAGGCTACCTTTTGTAATAGCAGCAGACTTAAGCTATAAAGTTGAAGCAGATATTACACTGAAACATTTTTTACTGATTTTAACAGATTATCCAGTTTCCTTTTATTTTAAAATTCTTGTTGCATAAATGTTAGCATCCTAATCCCTGCTGGGAAAGGGAAGTAACCATCTGCTAGAAACGGCATTTATTGTGTGTGGTTTTTTTTTTTTGTTTTTTTTTTTTTACAGATATAGCATTCCCCTAAGGTGAAAAATGTGTGCTTTGTCTAAAAAAGGCCTTACATTTGAATTTAAGACACTGGGACGCCGTAAACTGCCAACAATGTAAAATCTTTACAACAAAACATTTACATAAACACTCAGAAAATTCAATATATTAAGCTTAAATGCAAACTGAAACTCAAAGACTAACATTTCACTGTACACCTTATACATTTCTCCTCCTCTTACAGAAATAAAAAAGTTTTTTTTTTTTTTTTTTTTTTTTTACATCAGTTTTTTCTCTCCAAAAGATTTCAGGGAAGAGAAGGATCCTCTGTGTGAGGAACGCGATATTCCAGCCTGAGGCTGATTAATTACAGTTTGTTGGGATTGTAATTTTATCTGGATGGAGGAGCACTTTAAAATTAGCACTGGAAAGGAGAGACGGCTGCTTTTAGAAAGGGTCAAATTAAAACCACAGAATATGGGATGGCATCTTAAAGTGTGGAGAGCATAGAAAGGTAGAACCTGCAAAACAAATCACTTTAGGTGAAGCAACAAGCTTTGCATTACTGCTGAAAAAAGCATAAGTGTTCATCAGGTTTTACTTTGCTGTTTTTCAAGGTTTTTATTTTAATTTATTTGGTTCTCAAACCAAATAAATTATTTTTTTTTTTATTATAAGCTCATCTTTTATGTTTTCTGGCAGGGAATCCTTAAATCAATTCACGGGTAGAAAGGACCTGAAGGTCTGAAGTTTCTCCAGAACACCAGAGAAATTATCTTCTGCCTTCCAGCGTTTAAGAACAAAAGTGCTTCATTCTCTTCTCACATTCTTGCAGCTTTTCCTTTGCACATAATTCGAGGAGAACTTTTAGTCTTGGGTACAAAAAATTAAAAAACATTTCACATCCTGTTACAGTTAGAAAGCTATAAATCATACAATCCTATAAATCTGTCACTAAGAAAAAGGTTTTTGACCCATCCCTGGTTTCAGCTGTTTTTACTTTATTTTGTTTGTCAGATTTATCTTTTTTAGATTTAGTACCAGAGCAAGATAAAGTAGCTATAAAAATCAGAGTTTGTTTAGTAGAATGATTACATGCATTAAAGGAAAAGAAATAAGATGGACATATTTGAAAACACAGCTTCCCTAAAACTAACTGGTTTTGCCAAAATTGTTTTAAATCAGCATTTTTTTCACCATTCAGAGGTGAACTTGCTCCGATGCACTGGATCAATATTCCAATAAAAGTCTGAAAAAGGAGGATAAAAATTCTCCTTCACAGGATTTTGACAGAATTCATGGATCCATCATTTACAGAGTGTCCAGGATGTGGAGGCATCCTGAAAAAGTAAAGGAAGTTCAGACCGTCACACAAGAGTTTTCCGTGTGTTTAATCAATTTAATTAAATTCAGTTTATTTATATAGCACCAATTAACAACACATGTCATCTTAAGGCACTTTACAGTTCAACCAGATCATCCAGTAGCATTGATTCAAAGTTTTCAATCTAAGCAAAACCAGTTTATTGCATCGAATCATTGACTCAAAGGCAATCCCTCACACTAAGCATGATTGTATATTGTCCCTGAAAACTAATAAGCATCTATAACTTGTTACTCATCTGTTTTTAAGTCCTTAGATTGCAGCGTCAGACAGGTTCTATTAAAGCAATTTCTTAAATCGGCAGCTGATGGGATTTAATCAGTGGGAATTCATGCTTTAACAGGGAAGGTGGTTACTTCTTTAAATAACTTACAGCCTTTCTTCTCTTAAATCAGATAAATAATCCTCTTGAAATTGACTTTTAGTAACTCTAAGGCTTATAATTTTCTAGTACTTTACAATCTAAAACTTGATAATACTTTCTGATCTTGCTCCATGAGCTATAACATTAAAGTGTAATTAAAGGAAAGTGAACAAACCAGTTAAGGTGAAAAACATTTTTTACAGCTTTAAAAAAAGAGAAAAAAAAACTTAATTATAATATAATAATTATTAGAACAAGACAGTATAAAATGACTGAATATAAGCAACAACAAAAAAATCACTTGTTAATGCATTTCTGCATAAACATGAAAAGTACTGGCAAGAAAATACACTAAGAAACACCACCTGGTGGTTAACTTTGGTATTTTATCAGTAACAATCAAATAATAATAATTGATTAGAGGCTGCACGGTGGCGCAGCTTCTAGCACTTAATCAAGGGGAGTTCTGGTTCGATTCCCAGCACATGGTCTTTCTGCATGCAGTCTGCATGTTCTCCCTGTGCATTCGTGCATTCTCTCCTGGTACTCAGGCTTCCTCCCACAGTCCAATATCTGTTCGGTTAATTGGTTTCTCTAAACTGTCCGTAGCTGTGAGTGTGTGTGTGAATGGTCATGTGTCTCTCAGTTGCCCTGCGACAGACTGTCGACCTGTCCAGGGTGTACCTCGCCTCTCACCCATAGACAGCGGAGATAAGGCCCATTCATACCTCACGTTTGGCCTGCACGTCCGTATTTCTGTCCGTACGTTCTATCCGTTGACTCCTTCATACCTCCGTCTGTTGAGGTGCGCAATAACCCGTATTTCCTCTAGGTGGCAGTGCTGGGCGCCAATGATTCGTCATTGATCAAAACATGGCGATGGTCCAAGACCTGATTCTGTTGACATTTTGTACTAAAAACTCAATAGCGCCCCCACCGTTTCCGGTAGTATTGCTCCGTATTGATCCGTTTCGTCCGTAAGCGTAAGCTCCCAATTTTCGTGTCAAAGTACGGACGAAATCGACGGTTAGAATGTATGAAACACTCCACACGTATCCGTATCCGTCTTTTACGTGAGGTATGAATGGGCCTATAGGCACCTGCCCCACCGCCGCCTCTGGCAGAATAAGCGGAAAAAGATGGATGGATTGACAAACATGATTAAAGAACGTTAACTATGT